CCCCCCCCCTCCAAATAAGCTATTCTTTATAGTTAAACTCGTACGCTAAAAAGAAGGGATACCAAAAAAGAACTCAAACAGTACAAGACTGCTGCTTTGTGTGCGAGGGTCTGTAGTGCATTTATTGTTAAGCTTTTGGTTGTACGCGGAAGACAAGAGTTCGATTCCCCAGTGGGGAGGGTTTTAGATCAAAATATCTTCCCATGTCTTCTTGGAGCTTAATTGCATTACTATCAACCCGTGATGGCGCCGTAGAAAACAGCCTGCTTTATATTGAAAGACCTGAATTGTGTCGATGGGGACGTAAATAAGCATCAGTTACAATTTATTTACATATCTATATGTGTATAGATTGTGTGCAGACGAGGAGGTTTGGGAGAGAGCATATGTTTAATAATAAAATGCCAAACCAGTGTGCCAGTGGCTGAACAATAAAGATGTATCTGTCTTGTCTTGTTTTGTCACATTTTGTCTTGTCTTTTGTCATGTCTTTGCTTAGCTTAGCCTGGCTTGCCTCGCTTTGCGATGACTTGCAATGCCTTGCCTTGCCTCGCCTTGCCTTACCTTACCTAACCTAACCTTACCTTACATTAAAATTACCTTACCTTACCTTACATTAAAAATTACCTTACCTTACCTCACCTCACCTTACCTCACCTCACCTTAATTAACTTACCTTACACTCTTTTGTCATATCAGGGCACTTGAGTGGATGCACGGGCTTCAATGCGTGGCTGGACTCCTAGTGGTCACTATCATAGCCGGAGCCATGTACCGGTCAGCGAGCTTGTACCACCCGAGGAGGAAGGTCATTCTACACCTGAAGAGCCAGAAGAAGAATCGCCGTGACAGAGAGGCGGAGAAACCACCATACCTAGACTTCAGCGCACTAAAGATGCGCTCGTTGAGGGCGTTGATCCTCATTTCAGCGGTCATAGGATTTGGCATCCACGTACCTTTCATTTTGCTGGTGAGATGAAAACCTTTGTGTTATATGTGTGTGTGTGTTAGGGTGATAGGTAGGACGGCTGTACTTGTTAATAATATGTTGTCTTTCCCTCCCTTTCTCTCCATCCCTCCCTCTCTCTCTCTCTCTCTCTCTCTCTCTCTCTCTCTCTCTCTTCCACTCAACAGTGCT